TGTCAGTCTCACGGTAAGAAAATAACTTACTTGAAAATTTAATTGTGTATCATCGACGTTCGCTACCGCGCCATCGATGCAGCTGGCAAGTATTCCATTCGCCTCGCCGTTGCGCTCTCCGAGACCAAGTAACACCGTGCAGGTGTACCATTGGGTCTCTCCACTTCACTGATGGTCTCCGCAGTGTTCGCTTGACCATGCATGAGTACCACTCCATTATCCGCTCGTCCAACTATTGTCTGCCATCCGTGCCACGTAACTAGCCTATCCCTTCCTGCTGGCGCACACTGTCCCGACAGTGTTCTTCCCGCCAGGTCTCGCTCGAAGCACTTCATCAAAAATGCACTGCAGCGTGTTGACGTCAACCATCCGCCGCTCCATTGTTCTTTGAGACTGCTGATTTCCGTTCTTCAGCAGGTGTGGTATTCCAAGGCTTACATCCATATAACATAGCCGGTAAAACGATCGAATTGAGAATTGCTACTTTTGCAGATAAAGTAATCTTTTTATCGTAGAGTATATTGCCCAGCTTTAATTCGTACAAACTCTCTAATGGATGAGGACTTGATCTCGCATAAGAGGATTCGGTCTGTTGCCGTTGACCTCACAATGAATCCAGCACTGCCCAACCTTCTGTCAGTTGCTTCCAGCATGACTTGAGTGCCGTCGTCAAATTTCCCGGCTGACACAACCCTCCGCCTGGTTTCATTGATGGCAAGGATGTCGATGCGAATGTTGCGGAGTTCGCGCAGTATGAGGTCGACAACCTCGTTTCTGCTTAATTTCTAAAATTTAACGTGTCCACGCGCACAACAAAACCGGGTGACTGCTCCAGTACTACGAAATTCTTAGCACCCTCTGCTCCCTCGCCAGTTCCTCCACCATCGTCGCTGTGAAGGCGACAGGAAGCTGCGCACGACTGAGGGCCATTTCCTTTGAACTTTTCTTTCATAATTGCTTTGACCAAGGCTGCGTGTCTGGTGGTCAACCTTCGGGCAATCCTTGTGTTCTTCATCCTTTGAAGGAATTGCCGGCTCAATGGTTCACTGCCAGATACGAGCACAAAACTTCATAGGTGAGCAAACAGCACAAGCTCCGTACGTTCACGTATGCCCTGGACGTCCTGTCAAATTTGCTTTAGGAAATCTCAAAGTAAACTGTTTTTCTAAAAAGAAAAATACTAAGCAGATACAAATTTGCAAACAAGCACGTCACTATAAATGGCTGTATACGAACAAAGATTGTAAACAACAGCTGTTGCTTACCTGCACTGCTCGTGGGTTTTGTCCGCTACAAGCACCCAAGTTGCATTATCACAAGAGACTTCCACATAGTAGGAGTAATGGCGATCATCACAGTCCCACAGTAGCAGACTAAAATGGGATAACAGTGAGCGAAAATATCTGGACGAAAATTTACACAAAATAATGAT